AAAAAAATCGGTCCCGGGTCCAGGTCTTACCATGAGTACTACGGTAATAGCTTATTCCCTATATGGGAAATTCGCTAAAAACATAACATAACATAATAAATTTAAAGTTCATGGTGTTTCTATTTAAAATTGAAATAAACTATGATCTATTACATTATATTATATGTCAGCAACGCTATTGCCAGATCTCTGAAGTCGGTACATCGTGTCGTTTGCTGCGTAGTTGGTACGATGTTGCTGCCTAGCAAACAGGTCTCTGGAGCGAGTGGCTGAAGGGGTCCTGAACAGGATCCGGCTCAGCATATCGGGACAGTCGATCGTGCCGTTAAGGATCTTTGACAGCAGTACAACGTCAGCGGAGAATCTGCGATCTGCAAGAGTTTGGAGTCCCAGATCACGAGATACTTCCTCGATGGGAACCTGATGATAGAGAAAACCGTTCCTGACACCCACCATTCGGATAAATCTTCTTTGAATAGTCTCTAGTTCCTCTATGAGAAACTTCTGGTGGGGGTTCCACACTGGAGAGCCATATTCAAGGATTTGGCCTACCAAAGCACAGTACAAAGTCTTTAAGGCTGTGTCGCTTAAGCCTTTTGAGAAGCGGGAAACAAATCCAAGCATTTTGTTTGCTCTGCTGCAAATGTTTCCCACGTGCAACTCAGGGTTCAATGAAGGTTTAACAATGTGATGCCGTAATCCTTTACCTGCAGTACACGAGTTAAGGGCTCACTGCGTATATTGTAGTCGTAGACAATGGGGGAGAGATTCTGGTGGAAGGTCATCACTTGATATTTCTTCGTGTTGAGTTTCATTTTGTTCTCTTCGCACCAGCGGTCGATCACACACATATCTTTCTGGATTCGTAGGCAGTCCTCTTCAGTGGATAAGATGGAAAACAGTTTCACATCATCGGCAAACAGAAGTGAATCGCACTGGAGAGCTTCAGGTAGGTAATTTATAAGGAGTGAAAAGAGATAGGGTCCCAGTAGCGATCCTTAGGGAACTCCAGAGTATGAAATAAATTCTGATGAAGTCGCCGAAGCAAACATGATAAATGACCGCCGGTTTGAGAGGTAGCTTGTCAGCCACCTAATTTCCGTGCTTTCAAATCCTTGATCAAGCAATTTTCTCAAAAGTAGTGTGTGGTCTACCGTGTCGAAAGCCTTGGAGAAGTTCAGCCAACTGATTATTGACAGTGGAGGCTTCCTGTATTTTGGATTGAAATAACGTTAAGTTCGACACAGTAGACCTCCCGCTTGTGAAACCGTGCTGCTGTGAGCAGATTAAGCCAGCCAGTTTAAGCTTTAAACGGTCAAGGAAGAGGTCCTCAAAAACTTTGGCAATAGCAGGCAGAATCGAGATCGGTCTATAATTAGCAACATCTTCAACGGACCATTTTTGTGGAGGGGAACAACGTAGGCTGATTTTAAAGAATTTTATTATGATGCAAATAGAGAGAGAGAGAGAGAGAGTCACTTCCATAGACAACGATGTTGTAATAGATTAGCTATGTGAAAATAGTGATGAATGAAGAGGCTCTTGATATATTGAATAGATTGTCATTTGTGTAAATTAGTTTGGTTGTTGAAAAAAAAATTGTTTTTTTCTGAACTAACTCATACTTTCATTTCCGTCTCGTCATTACAAAATCTGACTAAGTATTAAGCCTAAACAAAACCAACCTTTAATGAAGTTAATCTTAAATATGATGGGAACAAATATAAATTTAAAACAAATTGACAAATTATAGTTGGTTTCATTTTCATAGCTGACAGTTAAATCAAAATAATAAAACACCTTTTTAGGGTTACAGTTTTGACTCAATGTAATGCTAAAACAGTTTATGTCAATAAATTTGTTTTGTTTTTTACAGTAAAAACAGGTTCAGGTTGTAAACAGGAAGCACATGATTTGTATTGTATGCATGCAGCCAAGTCATGCAAGGGGAAATAGTGAAAATACACAAATATAATACGAAAGAACCTAAGAAAATCATTTGTAGTTTTGTTTGGATATTTACTGTAAGAATAGCACCAAGTCGGGTAAATATTCTAAATTTTGTAATCCAAACAGTGGTCAAGTGTCAGTTATCAGATTTCTGACTTTCTACTGTTAACACGTTCGCTGCTGACCGTTAGATGCCAGGACGGCGCCAGGAGCTGAACTAACGCTCGCTGCTACGTAAACATTGCTGCCGATACACTGAGAATTACAGTAAAAGTAACAGTAGTTGTACTGGATGGCAATGTTCTGCAATAAAACTGGCTTTCGACACTAAGTGATTCTGATGGATAGCAGCACTGCCCAGGTTGCAGTCGGTAAATTAGTGTCGCTATCTAGTAGGAAAGAGGTGGGACAAAGCCCTGTTCTAAACGACCCTGGTGGTGATTTTGGGAAACCATATTTTTCATTGTCAGAAAAGTACGTCCCCACGAGCTGCAAAGAAATATAGGACGCTCGTGACGAGCTGTCTGATCCATGGTAAAGTTAAACATCAATGAACGGCGACGTTCCGGAACGTTCCTAGCTCCTGGCGCCGTAGCCCGTTTGACGTTCCGGAACGTCCGTAGCAGCGAACGTGTTAATGCCTCTAGATTGGCTAAAAATGTGAGTTTACAGGTATAATTTTTTTACCATTTCCCGGGGGAGGACCCCCGGACCCCCCTCCTATAGCCTATTGGGGGGTATTCCATACCCCCCGGGGGTTGGCGCCTTCGGGCTGGTCAAGGTTTACGCCCTAATAGATTACCCTGGATATGCTTTGTGTACGCTACCTCCTTAGGGGTGTGTCCTATTGGGGCGCTCGCTGGGAATCAGAATACAATTTAAACGTAAGCATAGGTCGATATGCACATTAAATTAAAGGTCTTTATTAGTAGATTACAATGCCGCAAATCCGAGCTCAAAAGATCAACTGAGTAAAAAATGACAGCCGTTCAAAAGTTCAAAATGGCAGATTCAAGAAATCTTTGAACGGCTGCCATTTTTTACTTGGTTGTCCGTTTGAGCTCAAAATTGCGTCATTGTATTCTGCCATTAAAGGCCTATAATTCGATGTACGTGAGTATGATAATATAATATATTATATTATATATGTATATTAGTAGTACTTGGCCTGATTTAATAGCTTGGCTGTAGGGAAAACCATTTGAGGCACACTTAACTTGTATGCCTTGTTTTGAAGAGAATTAAATAAAAGTTAAATTAAAGTTTTATTTCATTATGTTTATAACACCTAAACATAGTTGATTGACAACAAATAAGTTATGATTTAATACAATAACAAATCAGAAATGGTGAGTTTACAAGAGAAATCACAGTGTGTTTTGTGGTTTCATGAAACCTAATCCCCTATAGCAGTTTGACAAGCGAGTTTAATTGGGAAGGCAGTCACAACTGTAGAATTTGGGGGAGTGTCAAACCCCAGGATCATGATTTAAAAAGAAAGGGACAGTCCAAAACTAAACATTTGGTGCGGTGTAATGCCCTAATCATTGGGCCATTTTTCTTTGTGGAAGAAAATGTCCATAGGTTTGTTTACTTGGATATGTTATGTTTGAGTTGTGTGTTGTCCCTCTATTAAGAACTGCTGCCTATCATAACTATCCAGTAAGACGCCGCCCCACCTCATTGGGTTAAATGTGACAGGGATTTTTAAATTCTCCACTTCCCCGGACGCTGGATCGGGCGTGATGGCCCGACGAAATGGCCACATGGTTCCCACGATGTTACCCCCATGGATTTCTTATTGTGGAGATTTGTCAAGGACGCTGTCTATTCTTCCCCAGTTCCTAATTTACAAACACTGATGGAGATAATCAGAAATGCTGTGGCGTCTGTAACCCAGGATATGCTGACTAAAACCTGGGACGAACTAAAAAGACGTCTACAAGATCCACAGGCCACAGGTGGTGCACACGTAGCGGTTTGTTAAGTTTGTACTATAAAATCTTAAGAAGTTGCCTGTTATATCTGTAAATAGATCTTTATCCTACTATCACTCGTTTTCATACCATGCGGTTTCCGTATCAGGCCAAGACTTTGTGGACACTCTGTATATTATATTATATTGTATACATTATATATATAATATAGTAATATTCTTGTAATATAGTATATTATATTATTAGTATGATAATCAACGTATGCTGCTATTTAAGATTCACTTCTGTCCCCAAATTTGACAGAAAACTATTGTTCCTTCAAAAAGTAGATTTTTAGGTGGCGTGTTGATGTACCAAATCGAATTGATTTATCTCTTATCGTTCAGAACATATTAAACTCGTGCGTAACTTTATTTATACCCTGTATAAACTTTTATTTCATAAAAGTTTAACCTTATCTGTTATTATCATAATCTAAACTTAGCCTGATAGAACTAAACTAACCTGACCTAATGAAAAGTATTGTAAGCAGCACATTATGAAAAACTTGCAATCGATATTCATATAGCATGGACACAAAATCCAATACGATATAAATATTGAACTAATATTTCATTAAATAACTTCTTGATCAGCATCGTATGTGTTATTAAATTACCTGAAAGTACAAAAAATACTACGTCAAATAACACTTATAAACGTGCTTTATAAGTGTTATTCGACTTATTTTTGTGCTTCCAGGTAATATTTCATCCGATAATATATCCTAGGTTCTCTGTGGGACTGTACCCAGGCTACTAAGTTAAGTCTTTCTAAATATTTTATTTATATAGATAATTACAAGACAAATAAATCTAAATTTACAGATATTACTAACAAATTTTGATTCTTTCAATATATATGTTGGATGCCTGCTCCATCTTTGAATTCTAGAGCAGATCTCCATTTTTTTCTCGAGATCTTCTCAGGCACATACTTCTTGCCCTTAAAATTGAGCAAGTCAGTCTCATTCTGATCCAATTAACTACCAGACTGTAAGGCTTGACCCATTTTTCTGACAACCTCTCAGCTAGTGTTCTTATTAGTGTTTGAAAGTATTTAATTTTTTTTTAGGTCCCATGGTGTATGGAATATCATATTGTCCATTAAGCAAAGAAGAAGACTTGAAGAAACTTGAGTGTGCTGATTCTAAAACTTTGACTGAGAAGAAAAGAGAAGATATCTTTGATACATTAAGTAAAGCTAATGTATTTGTTGGATGGATGGTAGAGGTGATATCCCCTAACTCTATATGCAATAATATGTTAAAAAGGTGAGTTTTCAAACTACAGTAGTGTAGTGTATGAGTCGTAAAGACCATAAAGAAACAAGATACAACAACTAATGAGTTAGGAGTACGAGTACATAACTTAAGTTTTTTAGAGGCTATGGAAAAATCGGCTATAACTTATTGATTGTTGTGGAGCTTAACAACAAAAAACGCTTGAATGAAATCAATCCTTAGGACCTTATTGAGACAGATCAGTGAGGTGGACAGGTGTTTGCGATGTAAAAGTAATTGTCAACTCATGTATAAATAGACCTGCCAGAATAAAAATAGCTTAAACATGACATTTTTAGACAAAAACCATGGTGAGTCAGAAAAGCAATAGCTTAGTTCTAGTTGTTAATAGGCTAGGTCAATTATTGGTATAATGATTAGTATCAATATTGATGGAACAAGAGTAAGATTAAACATTTGCCGCACAATCATGTGGTTGCCATCAGGATGTAGGAACAACCAGGTGATTGTGGGAAGTTATGTCATGTGGTAAGTTCCCATCAGTCTAAGCTGTATAAGCAGAAACCATCCTGAGACCAGGACAGGTATTAACTGGGACCACAGTACAGGCATCCACCTCCTACAGAGTCAAGGTCTGAACACAGCCATTAAGTACCTACTAATGATTTTGATGGAGGTTCACTGGTGCAGCATTGAGATTGCCATTTGTAACACTCTGTACGTATTAATATGCAGGTCGGTTGGTTAATGTATCATAAATAAATCTGCTTATATATACTCATCCTTTTTTGATCAGGCAAAAATGTTCCTTGAATCAAGTATCACAAGATTCTGCCGTGGGATTAATACAGAGAGCACTTGATGCTGGAGTAAATGTGACCGAAGTCTATGTTGACACGGTGGGAATGCCTGAAAAATATCAGGTGAGTTGGCTTAACCCATTGACCGTCTGTAGTACTTTTGTATTTATACTTTTTATCTGAAATGGCGACCATACAAAGCTAGGTATTTTAAGCCAAGTTATGAATGGAGATGAGTGGCGCGATCTTGGCCCATCACAGTAATTCACTGCGAGATAGTGGTACTGCTAACCCACTAGCCCTCAAGTAGTACATAAAATCTAACCTACAATCGCTAGTGGCATGGTAGCTTAGTTGGCTAAGATATTGCACTGACAGTTGTTGCGTTGAGTTCTTACCATATGTGCGGGTTTGAATCCTTTGCATATGTACAATCCATATTGAGCTTGCTAATGTGTGGCTTAGTGGAGGGCCGACCTTAGTTAAACAGTTTTGGCTTGGGTGGAAGTTGACTACATTAGTGAGTTTAAACAGGATTGCACACACGTGTTTTGCTTCTTTATTGTTATAGAGGAGGTAGACACAGAATTTTCTTTTTGGCTTTTATTTTTATTAATATTGTACATGTTCTGTTTAAATACATTTATGATAAAAGTCAAAGAACATAAAGTAAAAATAATATTAATATAGACTAGCAGTCAGCGTCACTTCGTGACTTCAAAATCAACAATTTGATAGTAGTATATTTGATATATAGTTGATAAGGGTAAAAACCATTATTTCTCATCATATCCCTATTATTTGCATTGCGTGTCTTATTATTTTCATTGCGTGCACAATCTCTTAGAAGCGTCTTAGAAAAATTACAATACAGTACCGGTACTATAGTAACACTATGAAAACACAAAATCTTACGTACATTTTCTTCTTTATATTTTAAACATATAATATTACAATATTTTACTTGAATTCATCAAAACATCAATAAAACACACTATGAAAACACAAAATCCTATCACAACACAAAATCTAAAGTGAATTTTCTTCTTTACATTTTATACAAATAACATTACAATATCTATATAAATTAATTACGTAAGCTGATTCTTTGCGTCATAATTGTGGGCAACTGGAAAGTCTTAGAACGATGGGACAGGGTTCAAATTAAAGGTCTCGATCCCGTGACGGCGGAAAAAATAGTGAAATTACCTAAATTTAAAGACAAAATTAGATATAACGTAAAATCTTCTCCATAAGAATAGCATTAGAAGCCATTTACAGCTGATTTTTGTTTACTTCAATACAGTTGGTCGTGATTTATCATCAAACCAGTAAGCAATATTACATTTGGATTACTTATTTGAAAGTCAATTCTGAAGTGCACCGTAAACTATACAGGGTGAGTTTTAAATGAGTTCCCCCCCCTACTTTTTCCTACATTTCTTAAGATATCAACTTCGGACCACATCAGATCATTGTAGAGTAGTAAGTACTTCATTTTGACTGGGTATACATTTTTGGCCGCCATCTTGGATCCGCCATATTGGATTCAAAGTTTTTTTTTCAAATGTAAAGGTAGAGTTGTGACCTATTATTTCAAACTAGAATTGTACGCTGATTACAATGCCGCAATTAGTTTTTAAAAATCTTGATTCGTTCTAAAGTTATCAAGACTTCTTATAACTTTATTTTTAGCCCATTTTAACATTGTGCATTTACAAACTAAGACCATAATCTCAAAATAGTTAAGCGCATGATAAGTAGTATAATCATAGAGATGGCTCAAATACAAAGGAATTGAACTTGGATGGCTGAAAAATAATAAAGTTTTTTCTTCTAATTTAAAGGTTATTGTTGTGTTGAAGGAATGTTCAACATGAAATAACTACATTGACTAAATAATAAATTCAAGAATGTTGATTTCAAAACATATGTTGAAAAGATTTATTCTACACTTTTAGCGAATATCCTATATAGGGAATAAGGTATTACCGTTGGTCTCATGGTAAGACCTAGACCCGGGACCGATTTACTTTTTTGTTTTGAGGTCCCCAGAGGCCAAAAACACCATCCGTTTGAATACATATTTATATATATGTGTCCGTTAGTGCGAAAACCTTTACAAAAGAAGCATACACTTAGAAATAATAACTGGGTCGAGGTGCTAATTTAGCGGTTTTGTTTTGACTAAGAACTAAGCTTATCTCAACACACCTTTATTTGCCTTTTCATATTTGAGTAGGTTATAGATATTTTTTTCGTATTTTTAAAGTCTCAAAATTCACGACCATCACGTGTCCCTAGGGTATATTTTTCAACTTTCATGCTGTTTTTAGACTAATTATTCATGCCGAAATATATAAAGCCATATTTTTATGTCATCAATAGTTATTAAACTTACAAAAAAAAACCATATCATAATTTTGTTTTCGTTGCAAACTGACTACCATGACAAAATAGGTCTGTCCCTCGATTTGACGTCCCGACCATAATGGCAAAATTTGCAACTTTGGGACACGACAGTGGCAATCCTGGCAGCGATAACGTCAGTTGGTTTTAGAGACTGTTTCCAGATGTGCGTTAGTTTTGTTGTACCGGTGGTTTTGCAGTAGAAAAATGTAGATTAATATAGGTAACTTTGTGCTTTTAGTAATTTTGGGACGACCGTATGTAGTCATGTATTAAAGTAGACATGGTGTTAATTTTTGTTGATATGATATTTTAATTGCTACGTTAACCTAGAAATCCACTTTGCCTCCTCAAACATGAGGTGTAAGGCTGCCACCAGAACAGAGCCAAATAATATGGGATTTCACGACCTAGATCATCACAACCATAACGGGGTTTTTCACGACCAAAATAGCTTTATTAATTGTACTGTGTTATGGTTGTGAAAATAAATTCTAATATCATTGTAAATTGCACAGTTTAGTTTAACTGCAACAAAAATTGTTCTTATAACAGTACAATTAATTGAAGGATAAAAAAAATAGATTTAAAAAAAATTTTACATAGACAGTTATCTTTATTGCCTCATATACTAAGTTAAAGCTTATAGTGTATAGGAGTTATGTCTAAAACTATTACATTTAAAAAATTAATTATGGTTCATCAAGTCTTTTGGAATATTATAATAATAAGAGTAGTGAAAGGAAAACCTAAATAAACAATATAGTGATTCTCGTTAATCGCCAATTCCAGACCGTAAAAACTTGTCCCTGACCACAAGGTTGATGATTTGGGTCATAAAAAATTCAAATACCCCCGCCGCAGCAAACCTGCAGACTAAGCGAATTTCCATTAGCCTGATAGGATTCACACTAAAATGCCTCCTTAAAAATGTCACAATTATTCCCTATTTAAATAGAATTAGTTTAACGAGTACTTAGGTTTGCTGCAACAGGGAGGGTATAAAGGGGTTTTTTTTGTAAAATGTTAATAGTTTAGTAAGAAATTAATGTATTTTCCAAATTTGATCAAAATATGTCGATCAAAATATATTTGCTTTAACAAGCAAACTACAACAGTTGACTTATCTATAAGTATAAAAGAGGATGTTTGTATATATATATTTCTAAGTATATTCCTATAAACTATCAAAATTTTTGGACAACAAAATAAAAAATAGTATCAATATGGATAATGGGTATAATATTAAAAATACTTACGATTTCATTGAAAGAATAAAAGATATAGACATTCCAGAGAACTCTTTACTGATCTCATTTGATGTTTGTAACATGTACACAAATATCCCAACAAAGGAAACATGAAATATTCTAAGAAAATAACTAATTGGGAAAAATATATTAAACAAAAAATAAATTGAAGATATTATTCATCTTACACAATTGACACTGAAACAAAACTATTTCAGCTACAATTCCTCTTTCTATTTGCAAGAAGATGGTGTACCAATGGGTTCCCCTCTATCTGGAATAATGGCAGATATATTCATGAAAGAAATGGAAAGTACCAAAATAATGAATGATTGTAACCCATATAAAGATAAAATCCAATACTGGTACAGATATGTAGACGATATAATTTGTTTATTCAAAGGAAATGAAAATGAAGCTAATAATCTACTAAAATATATTAATAGTCTATCTCCAAAAATACAATTTACAGGAGAGATTCAAAAAGAACAAATAAATTTTCTAGATATTACAATCTCAAAAAATAACAACAGACATACATTTAACATATTTAGAAAACCTACGACCACAGACATCATTATTCCATACTATTCCAATCATCCTTGGAGTCATAAAATCGCTACTTTCCATTTACTTATCCACTGACTTATTAATATTCCCTTGAATAAAGAAAATTTCAAAAAAGATAAAAATACCATTAAATACTTAGCAGAGAAAAATGGCTACAGGGCAAAAATGATAGACAATATGATAAAAAAGAAATTGAAAAACAAAATAAAAAAGCAAAATAAAACAACGGAAAATGAAGAGAAAAAGAAATATATATGTATACCTTATAACAAATATATGACTAAAGCAGTAAGAAATACATTTAAAAATTCGGATATAAGGGTAAGTTACAGAACTAAGAACAATATATTCCAATTAATCAATAAAAAAATCAAACACACAGAAGATAATGAAGACGAAAAGTACAACAAATCAGGAATCTATAAGATAAACTGTAGTGACTGTAGCAATTATTATATAGGTCAAACATCTCGAAGTTTTAAAACAAGATTCAAGGAACATCTACAAGCATTGAAATCAAAAAATCAAACATCAATGAAGTCGAACTTCGCCGACCATATAATGAACACAGACCACAGTTATAAAAACATGAAAGAAAATCTAACAATTTTAGAATTTGAAAAAGAACGTGAGAAACTTAATGTAAAAGAAGAGCTAAATGTAGGAACATATTGTAACACATTTAGGAATATACACAACAAAAAGGACCCCAACAACATACTCAACACAATGATTCCAAAATTAAACCAACCTATCTACGATAAAATTGAAAAACTAAGGAAAGAAAGAAAAAAATTCATATAGTATAATGAAAAAAACAATTAATACCAAAATGTATTAAGATTTAGTTAACATATTTTATTATTTTTACATATGATTATATTTTTAATTTTG